TTATTTTTCTCTCTCATTACATTGTGAATGTACCTGATATTATGCAGAGTAAAGTTTGAAGAAAAAGAATAAGTTCCTGCCCGGAGGAGATTAAAGTACAATGCACATGCAAGTTTATGCATTTTTTTACATTGCTATCACTGATTAAATTTTGTTTGTTTGTTTAAATATATTGAATGCTTGCAAAAAGTGGCCTCTCGGGTTCTGTAATTCAAAACCATTGTCACACTCTATTTTCAGATACTGGTTTCCTTCATGCCATGTATCAGAAATACTTCTGTCTTGTACTTAAATATTTATCTATGTAGACATTCTTTGGTGGAATAAAATTATCATAACTGAGCAACAATACAAGTCCCATACACAGACTGTTTACTGTATCACATATTTGTTTTCTATTTGAATCATACATAACACTGGGAATTATAGGATCACGAAGATGCTAAAAAATCTAACTCACTCTCTGCTCCTTCCGACTTTAGAGAACTACAGTCCACAGTTTCCTTTAAAGAAGAAGTGACCATTAAACCAATTTAAATCGTGATATCAATACATCCTAACTACCAAGGAAATTAAACTATAGGAAGATGTTCAGGTGTTCGTTTTGGCATTCTTTTTCAAACTTGGCTGTAATAATGGTAAACAGCATGAGATTCGTGTATACAAAATATCTGCAGTACTGCACACACATTATCTCGGAAATAAACAGTAACAACATCTAATAGGCACCCAGTTTCATAGAAGCGTCAGTATTTTCAGTGTTGCTTTGTGACTAACTCAAGAAATCCAGGCAGAGGCCATTCATTCAGGCTCATTGTGTCTTCAGACACGGCACAGACAGTGGCCAGCTGCTTATGGCATTGAACGGCAATAGAGTTTGCCTTTTGGTGGAGCTGGCATTCAGCCTAAGCAACTTAGAAAGTCTTGGGGAGGAATTCTCACTGTCTGGCTTGTGAGGCCCCAACACAGCTGATCTGCAGCTGTTATTTTAGCCTAAAATCTGAAGCAAATGGCCTCTGCTTATTAGATGAAAGGATGAATCAGGACTGCATAAATAAGAATGACTTCTAAAGAGCTATCACTCATCAGAGATTGTACAGATAGTTTGTCTCACTCACTCTTCAATAGGCATTGCAGATCCTTCAACATTATAACACACCCATTTGATGTCTACAGAATATCATTGATGGGTAAGGTGACTGGACACACAGGGGACAGAGCTCCTGAAGTTTTAATACTGTATGTATTCATGTGCATGTTGAGGACATGCCGAGGGTGGGTTTTGAGACTAAAATTATGGACTTTGATATGACTCATGGTTAAGTTGAAGGTTATTCTGTGGCAGTGGTTCCCAATCTTTTTTGACCAGGGACCACTTGACCAGGGACCACTCTCCAACATTAGTACCAAAAGGGTTATGAATCAGTTTTTGGTCAACATTAGATTTGGTTGGGTTATTTGGGGTGCTGATTCAGAAAATTGCATTGGATAGACCACATCAGTTCTAGTTTCTGAAACAGAACATATGCCATCCAGTAATCACCATCTGCTCGCCCACAAATAACCATATTTAATAATCTAGAGCTGATGTGGTAGTAGTAATCTTTCATGGGTAGTCAGCCTCTCTCCTCCTGACATTCCCATTGCCTCGGAACTATAAGAGGGTTTTGCGAGACCAGTCGTTTCTCACCATTTTGAAGCAGCGGTGTAGTAATGGTAAGGCTACGGACCATATTTTTGTTCTTGTGGGCCATGGACCATAGGTTGGGAACCATTGTTCTACAGAAATAGGAAGGTGCCAGTGCTGCCTCAATGGACAGTCTCCTACAGGCCATAATTTTTTGGACCAGGGATTTTAAAAAACAAAAACAAAAGCCAGAATCAGCACTATGGCAGAGAGAATAGAGGGGGTCAATGCTTCCTTTAGGTCCTTCTAGGACATACAAAGCTCTAACATTTGGCAACTTCACTTAGAGAAAGTTACTTTTTAAATATAAGACTTAAGGTACAGTACGTTTACTGACCCATGGATTTGTCAGCCTAGGTTTTCTTAGTTGATTTTTGACTATCATTTCTAGACTGACACAGTAGTTGAACTGGTGGCATTGCAGCAGATCCCATTTTCCTAGCCCTGTCAAAATGTCCAGTTCTACATAGCTGTTCATGTTATAGCTGCCTTGTCTTCTCTCATGTCTCACGTCTAATTTCTTTACACATCATGTTTATGATAATGGCGTAAGCAATAGGGGAACATAGTAAGATAAAGTAAAAAAGTAAAGAGCAAGCTTTTGAGAATGCAGCGGGATAGGTAACACGGAACTATGAATGATGAACATGGAATGGCCAGACCATGTTACTGGATAACATTTTTAACAAGATGACACCGATGATTATATGCTTTAACGGTTTTTATTTGTTTTATACTGTAATGTTGATTGTTTTTAATGGCACTTGTATGAATGCCTGACATTGAATTGTGCCAATCTGTAAACTGCCTTGAGTCACCGTATGGCTGAGAAAGGTAGGCTATAAATATCGTAAATAAATAAATAAATAAATAAATAAATAAATAAATATGTTGGGATCACATTGTTCCCCATACTTGGCCCATTAAACACCCATGGATTCTTCCTGAAAATATTTCTATAATACCAGAACCAAGTAGTATATACTATATGTTATTTGAGAACATCATCTGGAAGTAAAAAGAAGTCTACAAATTAGCAATCCATAAATGGTATTGAAATAGCAGAAATCAGGAATGGAAATATTCCACAGATTTTGAGCCCCCAAAATTGTATGCAATCTGGCTCACTGTCAGATTTTGCTTGAATTGGCACCACTTCATTTCATTAGAGTAAGCAGCAAGTTCTCCCCCAAGTTCTGATGGATAAATATTATTTAAAGGGGAGAGTTGAAGGAACCTGGTGCCCTTCTTGTAGGAAAAAGCAAGCAAATCTTGTACTACAGATGAAAAGGTCAAAACTGGAAATTTGGGAGCAGTGTATTCAGATGAGACAAGATTATATATAAAGACAGAAAACAGACTAAAACCCAGGATAAAAGGCACTTCAGCGAATAACATACAACTCAAGCGACATGTCAAAAGTATGAATCCATAAAGGAAATGCCCAAACCCTGTTTGTATCAGTGACATTTTTAGTATACACACATGTTTTCTACATATGTTGTTTTTTCCAGTTTTATCTTCCTCTCCTAAGTGAAATAGCCTCAATTCAAAATGCAAGCATTAACCTTTAAAGCCATGACAAATTTCAAAATGGGACCAGTTTTTCTGAGGGATTGCCTACATTGATGAACCTGCATAACAAGAATATGAACCTGCCCAGGCCCTGGGTGAAATATCAAACACAACTTTCTCATCCAGATTTTACTTCACTTTGATTCTTAAACATGTCAGTGAGCACAGTACTTGCTTTGAGTTACTTCTCCTTTTTTAATTTTTTGGTTGATGTATTGCAAAGATGTTTCTTTGTGTGAGCCCATATAACTTTGCAAATAAAGCATGATGGTTGCTATTGTGCATCTTCAACTCATTTCTGACATATGGTGACTCTTTTACAGGTTCTGAAGGATTTTCCCTTTGTTCAGAATGAGTTTGCCTTTCCCCTCTCTGAGGCAGAAAGCGTGATTTGCTTAACACCACTCAGTGAGTTTCCATGGCCAAATGGAGATTTGAACCCTGGTTTTTAGTCATAGTCCATCACTGAAAACTTATGAAAATGTATTTCAAAAAGTAATGTATTTCTCTTCTATGTTATGAAGAAATACTACTGTTGTGTCTGGGATATAAGTGAAATCTTTGCTATAATCTGAGAAATGTGATGCCAAACTTACCAGGCAGCTGAGGTTGATGCTTGGCGTAGGAATGGAGCCACAGTAGGTTTCATGTCCAGATTGGAGCCAAATCTTTTTCCCAAGGATCCCTACACCCAGAAAGTCTTGTTTAGCTCTCGCTCCCACCAACATCACAAATGCGGCTGGTGGGGACGAGAGACAGGGCCTTCTCGGTGGTGGCCCCCCGCCTGTGGAACGCGCTTCCGAGCGAGATACGATCAGTCCCATCCCTCCTGGTTTTCAGGAAGAAAGCAAAATTGTGGCTATAGGACCAGGCTTTTGGTCAGCAGACATAAATTAGCACTTTAGTGGAAATGGATTGGAAAGGCGATTTACATGAGGATCCGATTCTATTTGGTAACAAATGTTTTTATATTGTTTAATTAATGGCTTATGTATTTTATGTATTTTAATGGTTTGATGGTTTGTTTAGTGGTTATTGTTCATGTAACGGCATCGAATTGCTGCCTATTTAAGCTGTTCTGAGCCCCCCTTTTGGGGTAGAGAAGAGACGGGATATAAATACCAGGAAAAAAAATAGCTACCAGAAGATGTCATCCAATGAATTTAAACCTAGTGGAAGTTCATTTGTTGGCGGGTCTCCCCCACCTCAGTCAAAGCGACCCAGATGAGCTTGACCACTCTGGTTGGGCGTTCTAGGATTTCTTCTGGAGCTTCAGTAGGGGGAGAGGCAGTTCCCCCCAATCTTTGTCCCACCATCCATGACACCAGGATTGGGTGGCCACCCCAATGGCCATCAAGATGTCTCCTTAGTGGACTTGGTTTGTGTTGCATGTAGCCCAGGTAGGAGCAGATGCTTTGACTACATCCACTGATGGCTGTGAGATCATTTAAGGGATCTTACATTGGGCTTGATTTGTGGACTCATAGATCAATGTATGGGTTGACCAGTACTTGGATTCAGACTTTTGTGTATTCCAACCCTATCTACAAATGTAACTAAATAAAGTATTTGCCTGCTCTGTGGTTTACTAAACACAGTGAATATCACCCCTGAATATGCAAATACATTTTGAGGTGTTTCAAATTAAGAAGGAATTAAAGTTTGGGGCACCAGCTGCAAAAAGGTATCTGTCTGTCCTATTTATTTTTAATGTAAATTTTATTTCATCTTTTTCTAGATGTGAGATCCAAAGCAGAACATATGACTAAGACCTGGAGGAAAATAGAACAACAAGGGGAAGAAGAAAAGCACCTGGGAAAAATGGAAGAAAATATGTTTTTAAAAAAAACCTAAGACCTACTTTCCAAGACAAATTGGGGTTGTCTAAAGGTTGGCAGCTACTACAAGAAGAAAGAAGATATTGAAGCTTATTTAAAATGAATATATTCACATGGTTCCTATTTTTTCATTTTTTTTAAAAAAAGAATCCAAATCATTATTTTCTGCCTATGTTCTTTTCTCTCTCAGATGTGATTTTTATTGACGATTTCCCCTTTATATGAGCATTCATACCATCTAACCTGCATGATGTCTTGTTTGAAAGTCCAATTGAAAAACATATTCACCTTTGCTTAAATGTGGATTGTAAAACCAGCCATTTGGAGCTTGTAGTATCTTTTCAATGTAATCCAATGGAGCCAGCACTTCCTTCCACAATATCTTTTAATAGCTATCTATGATAGGAATAGGCAAAATGTGATTGATGGTCTCTAGAATTTGCAGCTGTATCTCCTCACTTAAGTTTTTTGGCCCTGAATCCAAATAACCAATTTCACCTTACAGTGGGTACTTGAGTGTTTTTCAGTACTCAGAACAAGAAGTTACTATCTGAAGATTTTGGTAAGAGTCTAGAAATTTTAGTCAAAAAATTCAACCCCAAAAAACTGGCCATTGGTCTATTTGAGTACTGTACCTTAGCTCTTTTTTTAAAAAGGAACCATCTCCTTCTCTGACTAGAGTAGTGAATGGCAGGAGGTTAGTTTGTCCCAGGACCTGAAAGAATTACCGACACCCTCTATCCTCTATACCATGGCATCACTTCTGGCCTTTTTGAATGCCTGACCAGGGAAATGTCATAGATTACTGCAATGCACTCTACGTGGGGTTGTCTTTGAAGACAGCCTGGAAGCTTCAATTAGTCCAATGGGTGGCAGCCAGATTTCTAATTGGAGCAGAGTACAGGGGGCACACAACTCCTCTGTTACACCAGCTCTGCCGGCTGCCAATTTGCTACCGAGCCCAATTTAAAGTGCTGGTCTTGGCCTATAAAGCCCTAAATGGTTCTGGCCCAACTTACTTGTCCGAACACATCTCCTCTTATGAGCCTACTAGAACTTTAAGATCATCTGGGGAGGCCCTGCTCTTGGTCCCACCCTCTTTGCAAGAGTGATTGGTGAGGGCAAGCGACAGGGCCTTCTCAGTGGTGGCACCTCGGCTGTGGAACTCCCTCCCCAGTGACATCAGGTAGGTCTCATCCCCTCTGGTTTTCAGAAAAAAAGCTAAACATACACAAGCGTTCAAAGAATAAGTCACTACGGGTTTTGACACAGTCTGAATAAAGCTTATGAGCAAGGATTTTGGATCAATGGAACTATGCACTTTATACGTTTGATCTGTATATTGTTTTATGTATTTTATTGATTAACTGTTAATTGTGGGAATATGATTTATTGTTGGTTTTTACTGGCATTGAATTTTTGCCAGAGCTGTAAACCGCCTTGAGTCCCCTGTGGAGTGAGAAAGTCAGGGTATGTATGTATGTATGTATGTATGTATGTATGTATAAATGAATGAATGAATGAATGGTAGTCAGGGGCATCTGGCCACTGAAGTAGCATTGGTTCTTTCCCCAGTCTATGGAATGACCTTTGACTTATCCACAGGTCATATCCAAATCTATAGTTTTGCCCCTCAAACTGCTAACATTTTCATGAAGTCAATGTATGCATTATTATATACAATATGTATAACGCAACGAATTCAGATTGTTCTTTGCACAGACTTTTGGTACCGTTTTTAAGCTTAAAGAGTACATGCACTCACCTTCTCACTGGCATGTTATTACTTCTTCTAAAGAGGGAAAGCGCAATTCCACTAGAAAATCATGGACAATTAATCTTTCCCACTTCCTCTACTTGAGGACTGACAGTGGGGGTGTTAATGACTGGGACTTTATCTGCATTGAGTGAATGGGTGATAATAGATTTCTGCATTCTATTTCTGCATAATTTTTCACCATTTGAGAAAAATGCTGAAGAAATGTAATGTACTGATCCTTTTCTTGATATAAAGACTTTCATGAAAATCTCTAAGAAAAACCATTTATCTTCATTTATAGGCTGATTTGCATTGCGCAAATGTCCCCATAAACAAAAAGCAGTTAGTGAAACCATATGGGTGTTTTCCTAGCAGGTTATTAATGTTACACATTCCATCTGGAAACATCCATTTGGAGAGATAATAAAGATCCAAGGTCACATTAAAACAGAAAGTTGATTGCAGGCAAGTTTCACCATGTATGGAAAGAAGTCCATAAAACTTATGACAATTAGTGATGACACAAATGCATTATACATTTGCAATATGAGCACATGAACTAAAGATAACTCCATTTTATTACAACCTTTTTTGTTGCCAGATAACAATGAAGGGAAGCAAGCAGGGGTGACATCCCCAAATGGCATGCTCCTGCTTATTCCATGATTTTTCTGTGGGACACTAAATAACTCACTCAAACTATTCCCCACCAAAAGCCTCAAACTTTTTAAAAGTTACATCATAGGAGAATGGCATGTTAATGCAATCCATGGCTGAGCAATTCACTGCTCAGTTATGGGTAGTTTGTCCATATATTTATTCTTCCTAAAAGTAACTTTCCAAGCAACACCCCAACTTCACACTATTCGGACAGTAAGACTGTCTTTTGGTAAAGGAAATGTTTTTTCCAGTGACTGAAGTTGATAATTGCAGATTTCAAACATGCACATTAATCAATGAGCTTTAAAAACTCAGTGCACACTTGTTGATCATTACATTTCCTTGTATAACAGGCCAATTTCTAGATATCTAAATGTCATGGTCTTGGAATTTTGGTCCTTTCAGACTGCCAGATTTTGCCTTTTATTTGTATAGAGAATTTGATTTCAGGTGAGAAATTGGGTGGCCAACATGGTGGAACCTCCAAGAAGATTGTGAACAGTTCTAAAAAGATTTCCCTACACTCAGGAAATGGGGAACAAAATATAAGTGTATATAATGTAAGTGTATATATAGAGGTGTGCCATTTTGGAGCCCATTGTCAGTTGACCTCTCATTCCATTTACCGGGAAGTTACGCAAAAGGGGAGGGGTGATGTCATTTTCCTTCGACCCATTGACTACAATGGGAAACTTTAAAGGCTCAATCATCAACCATGTATGACCTATCTGCATGAAACCGACCTCAGTTTTAGAACCCCATTTACAACTGCAGGCCTCCCAAGTTTCAAAACAATTCACCAATCTACTGATTTTTTAAGAATTATTTTAAGTTTTTAACATAACATTTAAACAAAAGACAAACTTCAAGAGAGGGTTCTGGGAATTGTTGTCAACAATTGTGTCCATTCTCAGCCAATCAGAGCGTGGACACCACCAGGTGTTTTCTTTGCTGAGAAACAGAGAGAGAGAGAGAGAGAGAGAGAGAACTTCAACTCTCATCAAGTTCTGAGAAGAACTTTTCAATGGCCACCCTAAGCAAGTGCTGCTGGGAAAGTGAGTTCCCAGGGCCCTCTCTGGAGTAGGAGGGAACTTTCAAAGACAAAATGGTTGCAGGTTGCTTCTGCGGGGAGAGAAAAAGACACGGCAGGTGCCCTGCCTCAGGTGTACTGTGGACTTAGCTCTTTCCTCTCCAGAACCAAATAATAATAATAATAATTAAAAAATCTGGCTCTCTGAATCCATTTTGTTGGGCTTTTTGTCTCCCTCCTCCCCATTCTGTTTTTGGATATTATCGAAAACGGCCCACCGAAAACTACAAATCTTTTTCATTAACAGTGATTTGGGCCCAAGCCTATGTGTATAATATAAGTTGAGAATGTTCAACTCTGGGACAAAAGTAGATTTGGGTTGAACCTGAACCAACAATGTATTATCAGGAAATGTATCTTGAATTATTCACTAAAACAATGTTTAGTCAATAACAATAATAAAGTGATAGAAAACGATGAAAAAAAGTATTGCAAACATGATAGCCAATATGTAATGGCATATAAAAATCTATGGGGCACCTACCTACACCTAGAATATTGACACAAGTATCTCCATCAAATTGAACTCAACCAGCCAATGGAAAAAAGTTTAAAGCCAATAAACAAATTCTGAGTTGTTCTTTCTTTAATACTCTGTACTTCCTCGCTTGATGAATGGAATCATGCATCAGGCCATTATCTTGGTAAATATTCCATCGGTAAGGCTTCCATTGAACCTTTATCTTGGTAAGCATTTTCCCTTTTCAGTGATCAATTTATTAACTTGGCCAACTTCAAGTTGCCCAAAAGTTCTGAAACACCCCCATCCACAGTTTTCATGGTCTTCCTAGAGTCACCTCTCCCAATAATAAAAGGCCCCAACATCAACATGTATAGCCATTTTCACAACTGTGACTTATGAAACAAACCAAAGTATATGTTGAAAACATTAGTGGTTCTCAACCTTCCTAATGCCATGACCCCTTAATACAGTTCCTCATGTTGTGGTGACCACCCCATCCATAAAATTATTTTAATTGCTACTTCATAACTGTAATTTTGCTACTGTTATGAATCATAATGTAAATATCTGATATGAAGGATGTATTTTCATTCACTGGACAAAATTTAGCACAAATACCCAATACGCCAAAATTTGAATACTGGTGGGGTTGGGGAGGATTGGTTTTGTCATTTGGGAGTTGTAGTTGCTGGGATTTATCGTTAACCTACAATCAAAGAGCATTCTGAACTCTACCAATGATGCAATTGAACTAAATTTGACACACAGGACTCCCATGATCAACAGAAAATACTGGAAGTGTTTGGTGGGAAATTGACCTTGAGTTTCGGAGTTGTAGTTCACCTACAACCAGAGAGTCCTGTGGACTCAAACAATGATGGATATGGACCAAACTTGGGATGAACACTCAGTATGCCCAGATGTGAACACTGGTGGAGTTTGGGGGAAATAGATCTTGACATTTGGGAGATGTAGTTGCTGGGAATTATAATTAGCCAACAATCAAAGAATACTCTGACCCCACCCCACAATGGATCTGCACCAAACTTGGCACACTATGTACATGACCAACATTGAATACTGGTGGGGTTGGGGGTGCTGTTTTTGAATTCTGGGAGTTATAGTTCACCAACACCACAAAAAAGAGGAGGACAGGCAGAGAGATCTTCAGCCTTCTCTGCCAAAAGGGTTCCTCATACCATGAGAAGTATGTGTTTTCTGATGGTTTTTGGCGACCCCTCTAAAACCCCCTCGTGACCCCCAGGTTGAGAAACACTGCATTAAGTGAACCCAGATTTCTAAGAAAAATTTTCTTACTCTATAAGTAGAAAAGCCTTGTAGCCAACGATCTTCACTTTTTTCATGAGAGGATCATAAGGGATTAGGCACTTTTGATTTAATTAAATGTATCTATAAAAAGCTTAAGAAATATTACCTGCAGCATCTGTGATCCTGCCATTCCCAACCAAAACACCAAGATTTGTCTGTGGCAATTAGCAATTATGGGTTCACTGAGGAGT